TTGAAAAATAATGAATATCATTATTTGTTACTTGATTAATGTATATCATAGTGTGTAAGATCTGCTGTAGATATCATAGATATGTAAAACATACCTATTTGTCAATCAGTTCAATGATTATAATAATAAGAATGATAGATTCAGAAAAACGAATTAGAAAAAAATAAAAAAATAATGAGCGGATAGTAACAATGAAAACAAAAAATAGGGCGTCCGTCAGAAAACGAAAAATAAAAAATTCTTTATTTTGCACCTTCTGTATTTCGTATTGATATAACGAAGCTGAAGAACATATGTGAGTTCCACATTTCAACCCTAAAGGGGCTGCGCTAACAAGCTTTTTTACAAAGACTTAAGATTTTATAATCTTTTTTTGAAATGGGATATATGCAAAATAAAGAACAGTGAGTTTATTCTACTGAATATACACCTAGCTACAATGATGTTAACGTTTCGCCCCGACTAAAGAACTCGTCAGATGGCTGAGATCAGCAAGAATCTCATGGGTAGGACTTTAATACATTGCAACTCTAATACATATCACTCACTATAGTAACATAATTAATGAAAGTTCGAAGACTAGCTTCGTCTGTGCTCTATGTATGAGATCAATGCTTCACACTCTCATTCATTGCTGAATAAGAGGAGATCACAGGGGTGAGTATTATAAAAATAAAGCCACGACTACTTTCGATTCTAATAGGAATGCTTTTATTCTTTTGATTGAAAGAAGGGTCATATGAAATAAAATAGTTTGTATATTTGTCCCAGGATCAAAGGTCAAAAAGACAAAGATCAAAATTAGGGTTTTCAGGCTAGAGTTTCAGCCAATCATATGTTTCCGATACCGGATCCTCGTCCAATCACGTTTATTGTGTCGGAATCCCAGCCAATTTGGGATTTTCGCTATCCAGCTTTAGATCAATTAGGTTGTTTCAGGCTGAAAATCCGGCCAATCAGGGTTTTCGATATCCAACTTGCGTCCAATCAGATTATTTCAAGTTGGAAATTCAGTCAATTATAGATTTTTGATAATAGGCTTTCAATCAATCAGGTTTTTTAGGATGGAAACCCAGCCAATCATGCAGAGTTGCAGCCAGTAGGATTTTTTTCTTACCCGTACTGGCCCCGGTCTAACTGATCAGACTGGACCAGACTGACGGGTATACCGGCATGAGTCATTCTTTAGTTTTCTCAACCCATTATAATCCAATCAAGCCCTTGATCAGCCATATCTCTGTCTCTTAATTATCACAGTAGCCATGTAAGAGTGTTGCTTCATTGCTATTGCGCTTGTCACTATTTATTTTCATAGTTGTCTTTGTCTCCGCATCCTTCAGTGAACAGAAAACTTCATAGGACAACAAATTCTATATAACAACTATTTTATACAAGCCACAACCCAATGACATAAAGGGATGCTATAGTTTTCGAACCAACAAGTAGAATTAACTAGGTAATCTGATAATAATTATTTGATATGAATCGATTCGACTCATCAATTAGAAATTGGTGAAGTTTGAGCTATTTATTTGATCTAACTTCTTCTTTTTGGATTCAAATCGATTGTTGTAAAAAAAATATGAAAATGGATAAAGGAAGAAGGCAAATGAAAAAAAATTTTATCAAAAACGATTTGAATGAATCAACGAAAGAAATGGATTGAGGTTACAACCACGTAATCAATAGAATACGTATAGAAATAGTGTATTTGGATAAGAAATAAATAATCGAGTAACGTTAGCAATGCGTTTCGAATGAATCTTCGTCAGGCTAGATACAGGTTAATGAGGGCTACAATTCAAGAATGACACAAGTATCAAGAAAGATACAAATATTAAGAGCAACATAAATATGAACATAGATATTAAGAAAAGTTTTAGGAATAATTTTATAAATAACTTGACATGCACGTAAGAAAAATATAGAAGGATTAAAGAAGGTATAAAGAAGGTAAGCTTAGAGAAATACAAGAGTTAGAGAAAAATCACGCATGATCTATATAGAAAACTGTATTGATTTAACAATTCAAATACTGATAATTTTTCAAAAAGTAAAACACCCTTTTTTGGATTTTTATCCATAGAGCATACATATGGAGAGAAGAATTCGAAAAATAGATATTAACAGATGTGTTGTTGCACGATGATTTTTTGATAATCAATATGAAGATTCTTTTTCAAATATATATGTCTATATATCCAGTGATGATGTGTTTGGTGTTGGTATAAAAATAGCATATGATTTCCATCATGATATGAAGTGAGTTGCAATATGTGGGATATAGTGTAAGCAATTAACAATAATGAGTACGTTGGAGAATGATTCAGGAATGTCAGATTTATCATTTTATAGCAGTAAACAAAAGGTATACGAGTTAAAAATTAAGAGATGTTCTCTTTTTCAACATAGATGTCAAGAGTCAGATAGTAGACAAAGAGTAGTAAAGAAATCAACAAACATGAATAATATGCTTAACATATGTTTAGAAATATATATACATATATCGAAAAAAACTTGTACATATAACAATTAATTATCTTATAACAAAAATGAAAAGTATAACGATTAGAGATAACAGATATTCTTTTTATATAGTATAGGTGCCAAGAGTCAGATGATGGAGAATAAAATAGAGACACTCACAAGCATAAATAATATTAATAGCGAGTGTTTAAAAAAAAGTATATTTTTATAGAAAAAGATACACTTTTGTAGAGCAGAGTGTGGGTATGGGTCCTTCTCATCTTTGTTCACACTCACACCCACTCACACCCACTCATACCATCACCTACATCCACCCATCCATTCCTTGAATTCGATGACACTTTCAGAGGATATAATTCAAAGATATATGGATATGCTGAATTTCTTGAATTGCCAATTTTTGGATCATAGGTACTGCTGAATACATTTGAATAATTGATTGTTGTTGACAAGAAACTTGTAGTGTGCCAATAATATTTAGATTGATTAATACTTTTTTGAAACATATTGAAATAATAAACATGCAAGATTTGATCAAAATTCAGCAAATTGACCATAGCTATCAAAAAACTAATCTTATCAATCTATATATACAAACAAACTTTACACACTACTAAACTCATTTGATATACAGGTTGGACCAAACTAACAGGACACACTTCTTTTCAATTTTTTTTCTTTTATAGATTCATCATCCAATCTCATATTTGCCTTATACATACTAGATGGCAATACTCAGGGAAAGAGTCTATTATCAGCCTTCAATTAAACAGCAGCGAACTTATATGACAGTTGTAGAAGAGTATACGAAAGATGTTCGTATATTTTTCGACAAATGCTTACAACCAAAGGTTGATAATAGACTCTTTCTCTGAATATTGTCATCTGGTATATGCGATTTAAATATAAGATCGAATTATGAATCAATAGAAAAAAAAAGTTGAAAAGAAGTCCGTGAGCCACTACTTTTGGCTCATCCTGTATATGCACTGTAGTTATTCACGTATGTACATGTGTAATATGAAACAAAACATAATAAATATATTTGAAAGCGACGTTTTCGATATCATCAGAATTATAAACATTTCAATAAGTGAGCAAAAGTGTTCCTATAAGTTTTCATATTTTTTTATTTGAATAATCCGACTTTTCTCATGATAATTCATCCGTTTCTATGAATATTTTGTTGAAAATGTAACATTTAAATTTGATGCTAAACTATTATAATTATGCAATGAATTTAATTAGAATCAATTTACCTGGAATATTATCCTCTGAAAAATGTCTTTGAGAGGTTAACATAGTTAAGTGAAAATTTTTGCAAAGTTTATCGATAATGGCAAAGAAATATTTTCTAACTCTAATTTAATCTACTTTTCATAAGAATGTTTTTCTCTATAGTAGTTTACGAAAAGGAAATTTCTATTTTTCTTGAATCAATCGCTGGATTAAACATTGAAGTTCATAACAAATTTGAGCAATATTCACTGAAATTAAACTCGACATTTCTACACTTGCAGCAAGCTCAGTATCTAGATAGGTAAATAGAACAGTTATGATGAAAGAAATCTTAAACATAGTGCTTAACCCTTTACCCCCTAAAACCGATCCGGCAAAGTTAGTACCGATTTAAGCATAGGAATAGTCTAAATGCGGGCCCAATACGCTAAGGATGTAGCCAAATTTCAGTAAAGCACTTTCCCTGCAATACTTAAAAATGGGTAGAAAACGACCCATTCGGGTTGAGTGGCATGAAAATTCGATTTTTTTTGAACATGCTATTTCACGATTTTGTTCGATTGTTTATGCGGAATTCCTATGACCTGGCGTGTTTCTTTTCGTAACAAGAATTTTTTTGCAAAATCGAATTTTTCAAAAATGATATTAGATACATTTAATTATTTTTAAACAAAGTTTTGGAATGAACAAGACAAAATAAAATAATGATACTCCGTAACTATGTCGATTTTTCACAATGAAAATATTTAAAACAATTACGTTTTCCTGTAACACATAAATGTATTTGACATTTGGAACAACTAATTACTGATTTATTTGAATAACCTTCATATTTACATCGAATACATGTACTTGTTTCGATAATTGGCCAATGTTCTATGTCATCAAAACGAATAATTGTTGAGATGTTCGATTTAGATTCACGCTTTTTCCTTTTTTTTATTGAAAATATTATTTTGATTACTATCTGATTCAGATGATGAATATTCTCTAGTTAATGGTTTTACTAATTGATTTTGAATTGTAACTGTTTCTTGTAACATAGCTTTGGCAATTGACATTTTAAAAGCAAACAAACGTGAGCACCTTCAACTTTGTGCAGTATCTCTTGTTGCATGTTTCCATAAAACCCAAGCATTAATAACCGTTAATTGCAATATTCTCCATATAATACGCATGTACCATTTTTTCGATCTAAATGGAATAGGATGTAAAGCATATAGCATGCCCACTGAGTCCACCCCTCCCATATGCTTATTGTATGTTTTTATTATTTATGGAGCATCGATATAGTTTTTTTTACGTTGCTTCTTGATCCATCTTGATAATTGTGTTATTGGTTCAATGCCAATAACATTCGAAGCAATAAGTACACGTCGATTGTCTTGCCACCCCACAATGATCATCTTCTTATCACTGGATACTAGGTAATCATAATGACCTCGTGGTTGTTTCAACATACTTTTTTCTGATTCAATAGGGCAATTTCCAATTCGATTTGATCTTAAGATGCATGTTAATCCATAGCCAAGTGCTGTCATATAATCTAATAATTTAAGTGATGCGAAATAATTGTCCACAAATATATGAGAACCTTTTGGAACATTATCTAATAAATCAATTACAACCATACCTGATTTATCAACAAGTTTAATATCATCATATCGTTTGGCTAATTTTTCCTGATTATCATCATTTTGAAATGATGAACGTGTCGAACATATAAATTGGTAGTTGTTCGAGGAAGTGATGATGAAGATATTGTTTGTACTACAGGTTTCAATTCATTTGCACCTTGATATAATTTAACACGATATGTGTAAGAAGAACTACCACACATTGACCAAAACTTGAAACCTCGTTGTGTAGGTTTTTGAGGCATATATTGTTTTAGTGATTTGGGAGCTGATTTACCTTTGTAACCGACCATTTGTTCATCAACCGAAATAATTTTTTCGGGATTTACTATCGAACCACATTGATCATTGAATAGATTGATTAATGGTTGTATTTTATCAATAACGTGTACTTGAAGAACGTTATCATTGAAATGAAGTGAACGTAATAATTCATCCACTCTATCTCTTGTAATACTTTTGGTTACTGTTTCAAGCCCGCATGTAGCCGTCCAATAATCTGATTTACATGGTAATCTAACCAACGATCCATAAAACAAAAATCCAATCAAGCGATAAAAATCTAACTTAGTCATCGGTTCTTGCTTGAAATTTTGTTGTGTACGATATGAATTTCATTGTTCAATGATGTAATTGACAATATCGTTTGTTAAGAATAAACTAAAATAATCAAATGGTGTAGCATATTTCGGCATTTTGACATTATCCTTTAGCGAACGTTCTTCATCAAAAACAGTCAAATTCGCCTCGAGTTTTGCATTTCTTGACCAGTTAATCTCGTTTGAATTTAATTTTGATGTTGCCGAATCTAAATCCATTTGACTAGAGTCTGTATCCATTCCATCAGATGAATCATCACTATCTTCTTCTTTAGAATCAGTTTCCATTTGACCATCGATTTCACTATCAGTTTCAATATCGTAATTATCTTTATCATCGATTGAAAAATTATCATCATCAGCTTCATTAGAGCTAAAGTCTTCATTGAGACTGTATAAAATATGTGAATCTAATGAAGTTGTAGTATCACTAAATTGTGTCATAATTTCAAAGAAAAGAAAATATAATGACGACGAAAAAGTACATACATATACACGAAAAAAAAAGACCGCCAGTAAAGAAAATGATGGGTCAATCACATTGAAAAAAACAAAAACAAATTAAGCGACTTGATTGTTCTATTCCGATTTATTCGTTAATTCTGTTTCCATTCACTTTCAATTAGTCGGTGTGATTGGTACCCTCTATGTGTAGTGACAGAACGTAAGAAATAGACAATGAATACATGGACGAATATTCACATATGATTATACAGTGCCATCGTCAATGCAAGAAAAGAAACGATTTCATTCTCGTGATTCAATCGAAAAAGAATATAATATAGTGACCTGCTGACTAGACACTTAATGTATCTATATCTCAATCCAAAAAACACAAATTCTCCCGTCATTTCGCTATTGTTAACTACAAAAATAATACGAAAATATCAGTAATTATGCAATCATATTAATAAGAGGAAATCATTTCAGAAAAATAAAAATTTTATGTCACTCAACCCGAATGGGTCGAAAACGACCCAAATTCACTTGAAGGATGGTGCTCGTTCTGAAATAATTAACAAATCCATATGATCTTTCATTCAAAGAAGTTAGTGTAGTAGCAGTACACAGCAACAATTAGAATATCTGAGTACTCAATCTACGTAAATAAGAAAAAGCAATAAACTCAAAAAACAGATTTTTCACATTTTCGAAAATTCACAATTTTCTGACTCAAATAAGTTGGGTAAAGAATGATTTAGGAGAAATTCCGTTTTGTGCATTTATAGTTCATGCAATTCTGGATACAAATATTCCACAATCTTCTGAATCACATGCTTTTTAACTAAATTATGTAAATCGTACGAATGGGTCGAAAACGACCCAGCCGGAAGTAATGGGTTAATATGGAAACTCTATGTTTGTCAGGAACATTTTCACTCATTGACTCAATGCTTAATCTAGTTATCATTCACTCAATTGAGATGGGAGATAAAGGTTTACAATATCTATCTCAAATACTCGATGCAAAGAAAATGCTGACTCATCTGAAAGTGAAGTAAATAAAATAAAAAATTGAAAAGTTCTGTTCTTATTTAATGTACTCACTTAATCTTGCTAATCAACTATGTGTAAAAAGTCTGTGAAACAACATATCTGGTCAATTTTCAGCCACTTACAGGTGATTGAAGACAATTAGAACTTCATGTTCTTTTCTTATAATATATTCAGCATGTTTCTTCTGTCTTTAATGCAGTTTATTGAGAGCAAATCACTGACAGGAGTCCAGAAATGATGTGTGTATGGAATCTTTTATGTAATTCAATTTTGTATTATGATCAGAAGTGTTCCAATTCAAACTATAATAATGTCTTTTTATAGATAAGTCTTTCTCTGTGAAATACTCAATTTGCTGCTCTTTTTACATATTTCTACGAACGATCGAAATCTATTGCATTCAAAATATGAAGAGAAGAAAAAAAGAGATTCTTTTTTGAAAACTTTTGCCGTACGCAACAAATAACTGTTTGGAAAATTTTTTATAGATTTTAATTCTTTTGAGTTCTACCTTACTGTAATCGATGATTTGACCGAACATCAAAACTATCTCAAAAATCTCATCGAACGAAATTATGCTTGATAGATAAAATGTAGCCAAAAGTATACTGATATAAATGCAATTGAACTGTTTTTAACGAAGATGAATTGGAAATTTATTGAAGGACGTCATAGAAAATCAGAAGGGAAGTGATTGAGAGTAGTTGTCTTCGTTACACTTTGAAGCACTTTTAACTATACCAACATCTAAATGCAAGTTTAAATTTACGAACTTACTAAAATCGAGTGATACTATTACACTAGAGTTATAAACAAATGAAACTTTCTAAACCAGTAGAAGAGCATAAAAAATGTGGTGAAACATGAACTAGTTACAATACAAAGGAGGAACGTGCTTCGAATGCATGTAATCATAGATCCGAGAATGTACATATCGTTGGAAAGAAGATTCCACACCGACATCCTCAGTTATGAAAACTCGTTAACATTGAAATGAAGAGCTTGGTGCAGCGTGCTTACTACCGCTAGTTTAGTGAATGGATGAGTGAATCAGATAATTTATTCAGAAGAAAAATAAGATTATCAATGCTTCATATGATCAATATAAAACATCAATTGAAAATCTTTGTCCACAAGATTCATCATTACTATTTTTCGATCTTATTTCTGTTTTACTTCATAAGTGTGATATGAAACAAGATAATATTATTATTGATCATCTTTCTTCATGGACTATGTGATTTCAAGAAGTTAATGAAAACTTTTTTTGTCTTCTGTTTTTATTAAAGATTCTTCTTTACAGAACGAAATTAATTAATTTACGATTGATAAAAAAAATGCTCATTTTACTAAAGCAATTTTTTACCTTTGATAAAGTAAAACAATAATGGAGTATATCAAAAACAGTCGATCCAAAAGATAGTGACATAGTTATTGATCTTCTTCAACTTGCTATCTGTAAAAGGTTTTTAATCTATCTTCTCCTTTACTTCTCATATCGAACTTGTTTTTAATTCTTTAAGAGAAAAGGGTGTGAGTATGGGTAAACAGGTTTATATTCGCTTAAAGAAAAAAAATGTGCTATTAATGCTTAACTTATTTAAGGAAATCACATATGTGCTTTTTTGCTATCTCTTTGTTGACCAGTACAAACAGAATTTGTAGGCAGTTTAAAGTATGCATTTATGAAATGATCTATACGTGAATTTTTCATCTTGCTTGAAATCTAATGTCCGAGCTAATTAATCAATATTCATTTCATTCTTTCTTTCGTCTTTCATAAAAAAAAACAGCTAAACATGATAAATATGAAGAAGTCGATATTAGTATTTCGACTGTCCAGTTGGACTTTCGTGATCTGTGACAATTGTTGTGCGACTATTGTTGAGAGGATATTCGATTGTGTCGGTCAGTGGTAGTATGGAGATAAAGCCTTTAGTTTCAACTAAATCTGACGCTATAGTAATTTTCTTTCGGTTTTTTTTCGACGATCGTCTGTTTCTTGCTTTTTTAGAGAAGCGTTTTCGTACGAGCCGAATGACAGGAATAATCGTCAGTTTCAAGATAAAAAATGTAAGTCCAAATAAGTCCAGGCATAACACTAAAATGAATATGTAAATATATACGTATTTCTGCTAATCGTCTCAGAACTTCTTCATGATAAATTCAATTTTTATTTAGATTGAGAGAAAAGTTTTCTTGATGATACATTTGACTATCTCAAGAAACATCGACGTTTTGGACTCACTCAGCTATTGTAATTATTTTGATGAGAAAATGTTCAATCATTGTTACAAGTCATTATAACTAAAGTCTTACTTGCAAATAGAATTGTGTTAAACATGATCTCATAATGGCGGGCAATAGGCTCTTGCTTATTTTTCATATAGAATTCAGATTCAGTTATTACTACAACTAGAATGGTTTCGTCAGGTACATAACGAAGATATTCAGCATCTAGCGAGAAGAGTAGTTCATCCGAGAGAGTATCGACCATGAAAGTAGGTAGCCAAAGGCCTGTATATGTCGTATTATTAGAAATCATCAAACTGACAGTTTGATTGATTACTTTGGTCATTTTGACGTATACTGTCGGATTTCTTGTTAGAGTTCGATTTGAAGTGAAAAAGAATTTGCAAGTGTCCATTTGTTGAACTTTTGAATGAGCACTGATATTTACAGTCGAAGGTGCTGAAAAACAGAGACGAAGTCCACCGACAAAATGTGGCCCGTTTAAAGTCAATTGCAATGCGACAACATGCTGTGGTAACAGCTTGGAAATGGTCAATATTTTATTAGTCTCCGAACAGCTGAAATTCGTAGATAGAGTGTTAAGTCCACGATCTCGAATTTGTTGCAATAATACATCTTTGCATGTATAACCTGTACTAATAAATTGAACAATCATAGTGATTTTCTGTTCGTTGAGTAAGTCAAATATCGGCTTCTCGTCTTCATGTTTAAGTGTCGATAGTAACTGTAATGAACTGGTGAGTTTGGCATTGAACAGTGAATCATCGCATGATACATCTAGTCTCTCATTCGATGATGTTTCTTCAATTGGATACAAATAACTAAATGATATGCTGAACTTCCAAGCAAATATGATAAGAACAAGTATTGATAATGATATCAGTCCACCCAACCAGTGCTTTCCTCCGCCGATCACATCACAATGAGAGAAGATTTTTTCAAGAAATCGTTGTGGCTTTTTAGATTTTAGACGGCATGAAAGAAGTTTGATAATAATATAAATGATTATACCACAGCCAATCGCAACATATGTCCAGAATATGGGTGAAATCAGAAGACAATGCAGTTTCGTGATGGACAATTGAAAAATATTCTGAAGAAGTATATCACCGAATTCTGTTGTATGAGGCGACTCTGGATAAGGATTCGCCTGATCGTAGCTTGTGATGTTTGCCATGTTGGTTTCATTAATAGCAGCACCAAAACACCATAATGTATCATTGGTTGTGCATCTGACGCACATCTCTCCAGCACTACCATCATTTTTCCAACCAGGTGGACAAATCACACAAGGGCCAAAGCTTCTATTGACTTGATGAGTACCTGGTATACAAGGTTTTGGTTTGTATATTGCTATATCATCATATTCCTCTATCAGTTTGCTATAGTAGTCTGGGGGACTTGCAGAAATAAGAAGTACACCGGGAGCATCGAGAACAACACCAGCGATTTGAGAATTCCATATCACTAGATTAACAATACGATGAGGCAGTTGCCGTAAATTCATTGGCTTAAATTGTTGTTGATTGTTTGGAAATACGTAGAATGGCTTTTGTTTGACTTCTGTCTCACTGAGATTGTAGACCTGTGTATGAACAAATCCGAGGATGTAATTAGCAGCAAACTTCTGATCTATCGTAAACCCCTCCCAATAATAGAAGCCCCCGGGGGCTTCTAAACTGTCCACCGTCCAA